GCCCAGGCGGGTCTCGAACCCACGGGCTCAGGCAATCCACTCACCTCAGCCTACCAAGGCACAGGATTACAGGCTGAGCCACTGAGCCCAGCTAATTTTTTTCTTTTTATAAATAAAGATAGGAGTCTCATTGTGTTGCCCGGGCTGGTCTCGAACTCCTGGCCTCAAGTGATCCTCCCACCTTGGCCTCCCAAAGTCCCAGGATGATAGGCGTGAGCCGCCACACCTACCCAGCCCAGAGTTTCTTTATTTCTTGGATAGGAAGAAGCTAGGTTGGCTTCACCTGTGCCTTCCCTCCCCCCCTTGGTTAAGCCTTGACCAGCTCTCAGTATTCTTTCCTAAGCGTGGACATCCCTGGATGACCTGCCTGGCCTCAGCCCCCACGGGACTGGGGGGGGCAGTTCAGCTAGGAAAGAGAGCCCTCCTTGCCAGCTCGGGATCGCTGAGCAAAACCACTTCACCTAGCAGAGCCCTTCCGCTTCCCCCTCGGTAAGGGAGTGAGATGTGTGAGGATTGCACGAGGTGAAGCTGTGGCAGTGAGAGCTCTCCTTCCGGGGCACTCCCACGTGCCGGGGGCAAGCAGCGCAATGCCTCGAGTCTCAGCCCCACAGCACTCTGGTAAGCGATCGGGCTTTGGGATGGAGAGGCCAGAGCGGCGCAAGACCCTGCCCAGTGAAACAGACCCCGTGGCCATGAAACAGCAGAGCCGGCTGCGGGCCAGCCCTTTTGGCCCCTGATTTCTGCTCTTGTCCTTTCACCGTACCTCCTTCCTTGTAGGGGAAGACGCCTTGAAAAGTCAGTAGCACTAGTTAAATCTCTCTTCTATGCCTTGGCCTGGAGCCAAGTTTTCTGTCTTTTCTCGGACCTTTTTGCCCCATGGTGTCTCATCCGGGCTCGGTCAAGGATGGTGTTCCACACCCCCCACTCACACACTCACACACCTGCTGGCTGCATGGCCACCTTGTCATGGAGGCTTCTGTACCTGTGCATTTGCCTAGCCATTCAGATGAGTGGGAGGGGCCCGGGGAGGCCGCGACCAGCAAGGCCACCAATGGCCTGGCTCCCCAGGATCCCACAGTGAGCCCTAGAACACTCGACGTGGTGGCACCGCGTGTCTTTTCCAGGGAAGAGCCTCCACTGGGGGCTGGTTTGTCCTGATGTTGCGGCTGTAACAAGTAGCTGGAGAGGCCAGCACTGTCATCACAGAGCACACTGTGTGCTTGTCTCTCTTCTGTGTTGACTTGGCCACCTGTCCCGTCCTGGGACACTCACCTTCCGTCATTGAGTGGTGGGTGTTCTCTGGCATTTTCAGGGACGATTGTTCTGAGATTTACGTTCTCCAGTCAAAGCATGGATTCCTTATGGCTTGGACTCCGGGGTGGGCCTTGGTGGGAGAATCAGGGTAGCTGCGGGAAGGGTGCGGGCGAGGCGCCCGCCGGTGGCCTGACCTTCCCTAACCCGGGTGCATCTCTGACCTCCCCAGGCTGAAGGTGATGTGGCAGCCCTCAATCGTCGTATCCAGCTCGTTGAGGAGGAGCTGGACAGGGCTCAGGAGCGACTGGCCACAGCCCTGCAGAAGCTGGAGGAGGCAGAAAAGGCTGCGGATGAGAGCGAGAGGTGAGAATGCTTGGAGCCTGGGGGCAGCAGAGTTTGCATCTGGAAAATGGGCTCATACTGCGGCCCTCCCAGAGCCGGGCTCAGAGCTTACAGGCTCACACAGACACGTCCGCAGATGCATGGCAGGGCTTTGCAGATCCTCACACGGTGTGTGGAGATGTTTATCCTGATGGTAGCCCTGAAGGAAAATTTCAGGCAAGCCGGGTGTGGTGACTCACACCTGTCCTCCCAGCACTTGGGGAGGTGGAGGCGAGAGGATGGCCTGAGCCCAGGGATTCAAGACCAGCCTGGGCAACCAGGCAAGACCTCGTCTCTACAGTAAATCCAAAAATTAGCCAGGCATGGTGACATGTGCCTGTAGTTCCAGCTACTTGGATGACTGAGGTGGATGGATTGCCTCAGCCCAGCAGGTTGAGGCTGCAGTGGCCATGAGTGTGCCACTGCACTCTGGCCTGGGCGACAGTGAGACTCTGACTCAAAAAAAGAAAAACTTCAGACAGAGGAAGGCAAAACCATGCGTGTATCTAGGACTGCAAGTGTGACTGCCCCTGGAGTCAGTCTGCAGAGTGCCTCTTCTCATGTCTCCTCTGCAAGTGTTCTTGAGATATCCATCTCAGGGCGATGTGAGACGGGAAAGGAAAACTTGGAAAGGGCTATCTGGATAGGTGATTGCCCACAGTGCCGTTGGGTGGGCCTCAGGCCCTGGGATGGTGACAGTGGTATTCAGGGACAGGCAAACCTGCACCATCCACACACTTTCAACTAGCAGTACATTGGGCCTCCAACTGGCAGGGTGTCCTCTCCTCAGAAGCAGATCATTCTCTGGCACGCCTTGGCACAGGCTCTGGAAGACTCAGGGTAGATTGTGTAATGTGCAGAAGAGTAGCCTCCATTTGGTGGTAAAGGAGCTCCGTGTATAGCGATGGCGTGAGCCAAGCCAGTGGTCATTGCGTATCTGCCACCCAAGCACTCTAGAGTTGTCATGTGACCCGCCCATCACACTTTTCCAGTATAAACACCTCCAAAGGATTCATTTGTGATTGTGCTGTTGTCATTAACCAGGTTAGAAACCAGCAAGGAAACCTCGGGCATTTCATGTGGCCAGGGTGGGAAGTTTCTCCCCATGCAGTGGAGCAGCTGGGGCAGAGGGGACAGCCCATTGCAGGCTCTGCCTCAGCCACTGGAGAGAGGGCGAGGGTGCCACTCAGGGCAGCTGCGGGGAAGTGTGAGGGAGCCAGTCCTGGGCGCTTGTGGCTGGGTCCGAGGCCTGGGTGAGCTGCTGCCATGGTGATGGTCAGACGAGCCTAGCTGGATGGTCACTTCAAGGGCCTCCCGAATGGCAAACCAGGAGAGCCTGGGAATGCCGGTCACTTGTTGGCATCCTGTCACCAGAGGCCTTTGGTGACCCCCCCTGTTGGAAACTGATGGACTTCGATGGAAAGAACCCTCCTGCCCTTGGAGCGGAAAGATCGAGGTTTAGCCCTTCCACTGCCGCTTCCTGCGTGACCTTGGGCAAGCTGCTTAGATCCTTTGAGTGCCACAAGGGGCTTTCCAAAAACAAACATCCCAGCAAGCTTGCCCCCATGCTGAAGCAAGGCCTTGTCCAGGTGAGGAAGGTATTTCGAGAGCTTATGGTGAAAAGTAGTGATAGCCCAAGTAGAAGTGTTTCTTTTTTTTTTTTGAGTTGGAGTCTCACTCGGTTGCCCAGACTGGAGTGCAGTAGCTGCTCCCGGCCACCGC